GCGAGCTGCTTTCCGATTTACTAGAAAGCATGAAGCTCATATTTATTATTCAAATGTAGTGATTCACTTCTCCAGTGGTATGCAGTGAGGACAAGCATTTGGTTAGTGGTTGTTTAACTTCCTGCTTGTAATAGAATCAGGATTACATGATATAGAGATTTATATCACATATCTCTTAATGCTATGATCTTAGTATATATGTACTCCTGGTCTGAGATTGAATGTATGTGAAGTCAACATGAAGAGACTGACAGAGGATGTTCACCGATTGGATTTCTGTGTCGAGTGACAGAGGATGTTCACCGATTGGATTTCTGTGGTCATATGCAGTTGCTATGACACACAAATGCACGCAACATGATGCACCCTGTTTTGCGTAAGCAGCTTGTGTGAATAATCGTTTTCTACGACAGATCGTGTAAGTCACGCATGTTTCGTTTAATGGCGGGTTAATGAACATTCACATGCTAAGTGTTTGTTACGAGTTCACGTGAATAAATTTATTTGAGTAAAAACGTATTAAAGCGTTGGTAAATTACGCAATACACTGAATTTAATCATTTAACATTACAGACATATAATTTTTCAACTACATTTACAGTTTAAGAAATACAAGAACTTAACTAAATTACCACATTGCATTGTTGCCTACGAGAAGAGTAAACATGTTCCAAATCATGATGTTATAACAGTAATAATTCTCTTCCAGTCCCAATACAATCAATATTCATAGAGTAAGATAATTATAGGTCCTAATATTATCTTACTCCTGATAATATCAGGAGTCTATCAATATATATAAATAATATTTGATAAAAAAGACTGTCCTGATAATATTATTGTATTGACTGAAGAGAAATTATTACTGTAATAACATCATGCATTTGAGAACTGGAATCGGAGTGTCCCTTCGTTCCAACGTCCTTGTTTCAGACTAGCGTTGGTATCGGTCGTCGGCTATGATCGGCGTGTAACAGCAACAGCAATAAAGTGCGAGCCGAGAACGATGATAAGATCACAGCCTAATGCGATTAACCGAAACCAGAACTGGAATGCAGATATTCTCCTCTTGACTTCATAAGAAAGAGGCCTTTAAACATAAAAAAGACACCCTTAAACGATATATAGATATAAGAGAGTTTAATTACGTAAAAATATAACGTATAAAACAATAGAAAATAGTTTATGCTACATTGATTAAACATGCTAATTGAACATACTATAGTTAATCAGCCGATAACTAGATTAAATTCATTAAACACATAAACGCACACACACAATTATATATATATATATATCTGTATTATGAATCTCAGGGAGTTTAGCCCGACTTGTAGGCGATCCTTTAATCGTGCGCACTCGGATCTCGCCGAGTGTGGATTGGAGTGGGGTCAACTTCGGGATATGCTCTGTAGAAACTCTTCCTCATTTGCCGCACGCTTTCTTTCTCCCTGAACGGGGAACACTGAAGCACACGGTAAACAAATGATTTAGTGACGGTTATTTACCTACAGATCACTACTAACGGAACTGTTGTCATTACGTCGTGAACTAAGTGGGAGAGCAATAGTATAGAAGGCATACCGTGTCATCGCATTCAGATGCTTTGGAAATAAATATTAATTGATTAGTATTGAAATGAGAAGGATTATGTAACTTTAAAGTATTAACCTTAAAATTTCCTAGTAACTGCATTCGTAACAAACCAGACTGAGATTATTCCAATCTGAATTTTACCCGCCTAATGGGCACGTCGGGTTAAAGATATAAATTTTGCGCGAACCAATTCCAGAACCGGTCCTGAGATTTACCGTCGAACCGACGATATATTCGAACTGTACTCCAGGGTACCCTCCGATAGTACCCTGGGGGACCATAAGACCCTCTCAAGCGGGCAGTTTAGCCACCCCTAACGCCGCTAACCCAATAACAGTCCCCAGCCAGCCATCTATATTGGCCCGATATCGGCCTGACCCTGGCCATCCTGGACCAATATTAGCAATATAGGCCTCAGTCGGCCCGATGTCGGCCCAATCTAGCCATCCGGGCAAAGATATTCCTGGCTGGGCCAGGCTGGCCAACATCGGGCCAGCATTGGCCCAATAAATTGAATAATCACTGAAGGCGCTGCACTATACTGCAGGTGATGTACGTTTTATGGGTAATATATTTGTATAATTATTTTAAATAATAATAATAATTTAACTGCATAATTAATTATATTTAGAGATATATTTATATATTTTTTGTGATTTTTTCACTGCTGACTTTTACTGCGGTACTGTGTTTGCCGACTTTCTGCGTACCTGCCTTTTTCTGCCATTTTCTGTTGAGAATTCAAAAGTTCAAGGATTCAATTAAGGATTTTCATCGCTTGCCATGACGTACGTATTCATAATCATATTCTCGTATTTCGATCGTTCAATAAGCTCCAATGTGCACTGAATAATGACCTAAAAGGATACTTTAAAAATAATTTTAACGATGATTAAGTGTAATTAGTGTAATACTAATAGTAATAAGGATATGAAAGAAGATATGGAACATTTATATAAATGTGATGCTGATACTACTACTAGTTTTATGAAAATATAAGAAGGGACAACAAATAGAATAAGCTGGAGACAAAGGACTAACCATGACTCATAAAACCAGAATTAGATTATGTAAGGAAAATTCCTGGCGATTCCCGTTGACACTAACATGTAGAGAATTAGAGGCGACGTTTTATCCCTTTGTTTTCTAGATGAACCAGTACTCGTTGATTCGGGTTGCCTGTGAGAATACAAGAAAGAAGGGCGCCAAGCATACAAGATACTGATAAAATCTAATGTACGAGTGCATCCAATTATTTTTGATAGACTATAGATTGATTAAAATTATAATAATGAGAAATATAGCATATAGCCTAGGCTAATGGTAATGCCGTAATGGCGAGCCGTCAATTATTTACATTATTTGGCCCAGTTTCACGAAAGCGTTAAATTAATAATCCTTAATCATGATTAAATCACTGATCATGATTAACCTATCCATACTTAAATTGAATGACTGTTTCACGAAGCGTAATTAACTTTAATCAGATTAAGTTTTAATCACAATATTTAATTCTAAGTCGGGGCGAGAATCTGGCGGTATTAGAGGGGCCGGTAATAGCAAAGGTTTTACTGAATTTCATCATGGTAATACATGCTTTGGTTGTTGAATTTAATGACACTGTTTCTAATGTGTGAGAGCATGTATCATTGCATACCTTGAAGGTTCCTGACAGAATTTATTTCTGTTGAACAGCCCAATATTTTAAAACGTTTTGCATGTCCCTTTTTTCAGAAGCGGCCGGTACGTAATAAATGGCAATTTCCACAACACGACAGAAAAGGAAGTTGATACTTTTTTGAAAGATGGTTAAAGCGGAGCCAAAGGATGAGACGAGGGGTGCCGCACTGAGAGACGACTGGCGTATAACTTTGTCACAAACAATCGGATTAAAGGCCATATTACGAGAATTCTTCAGTGTTTTATCAACTGCACTTTCATGATACTTACCGTTAAATTGTGAGTAAACAGCAATTGTCCTAGAGTTAACGATAAACATGTCTTAAAACCTTTCGGTGTTCACCACACAACATTCATTGTAAAATAATTGTTTCGGATGATTGTTTCAGAGCAAAAGAATCTCGTAAGTAACATGCTTTAGTAACTTTTTTTTAAGTGAATACGTAAGGTTCTAAGAAAATTTTTATTGTTACTTTAGACAATTGCTATTACTCAAGCAATTAAACGGTAGGTGTCATGGAAAAGTAGTGAAAAACACTGACAAAACTTTCGCAATAGTTTTACTGTTTAAATTGACTACTCACGATTTTCGCATGGTCAAAATTTGTAAAAAAAAAATTGCCATTTTTTTTACATTAAAAGTTAGAACTAACGTTACTAAATATATCCTCAACTATCACCTGATAACACCAAATGTTGTTAACTTGGTTAAATTTGCAAAGAAGCTAGACGATTTGGTAATTTCTGTTGTCTAACACTAATTCCCCCAGTACTGCTCAGATACTGGCGTCTTTCTGTTTTTCACCGGCAAATTAGGGCATATCAAGAAGGTATAATAAGCACTGAAAAGTAAACAGAAACACTAATTGTATTTTCATACATTATTATTTTGTACAAATACACACAAAATATATACTTGATGGTGCTAGAAATTTCGTGACGTAATCCCTTAAAAGCTGATAAACCTCGCAACAAAAAAGCCATATATCCCTACTGCATGTGGGCTCGTCTATGTTGCAGAAAAATTCAACTACAACTCGTTTGTATTGCTACTTTCACCACATTTCTTCTTAAAATCTAAAAGAAATTACTTTCTCTTACAAAAAGTAGCACTACAGAAGATGTTTAATTACCCATCCGTGACACAAGCGGAGCGATCGGCTCGAGTCGGTTCCTTTCTATGATAAAGACAAGTTATAATTCATTAATTCCCGATTGTACTATTCAGCTACAAAATTATGAAATTTGTTTAAATCAATAATCGTTATCTAATATACGTATGCAATCAGGAAACAATATTAAGTGTTTTCGGTCCAGGAACATTTTGTGCTAGCGTACAGGCTACTGCTAGCTGGTGACATTCCCTCTCGTCCGATGCGATTTTGTAAATCACAATGTTGTTGGCACTTCTCTGGCTTCAATGAGAACATTTCGTAATTCCTGCACACTGCAAAGTATGCTCACAGTTCAGGTCTATATAGGCTTTTCTGTTGCGAGGTTTATACCATATTTAAAGTGTGGACCTTGGAATTCGTCCAATATCGTATTCGTGCAATCGGACAAAGGAACCATGCACGTACTTGTCCATGTCAATAATATGTAACATGATGATTGTAAATACACACTACTGAACAATCGGCCATCAGCCTTGCAATTTTTCCATGTGGCAGCACTCATATTAAAAATGTAGGTGCTGCCACGCGGAAAGTTGCAATGCCTTCTGGCCAATTCTGGAGTAATACTGCAGATTATACTCTACAGGGTCTCCCAGAAAGTGTGTCCCTCCTTGCCTTGGCATTTGTCTATTAAGTGGACGAGTAAGGGCAGGCCGGCTCGAGCTGCTGCGCTTGACAATAGCTTATACATAACATTGTTTTAGCTGACTAACGAGTAATATTTTTGTATTGACACTTTCCCTCTACCTACAGAGATTCTTCAGAATATGGGACAAACATTCTGGGATACCCTCACTGTGGAGAATCGCCTTATCAACCAACGGCGGACCAGTCAATAGCCACGTCTTGCTTTTCCATATATGCTCACGACATAAACAGCGAAATCGTCCACTCAGTGGAAATTTGAATGATTTCTTAGGGTGAGTAAAATTGTGTTGAGTTTATCTGGTAGCATATAATCAAGAGCGCATTAACCCCAGAGCGTACAACGCTGAAATAGGAAAACCATGGTGTCGTTTAGCAAAATTATAAAAGTTTACTCGTAACCTTAATTTTGATATCTCCTACCGGAATAATATGCAGGAGTCAATAGCTTAGCCAATAAAATCAACGCTTGTCTCTACGATGTTCCTATGCCGAGATATATGAAGCGATCAAAAATCTAGTACTTCTAAGGTAATTCCTAAGCGCCATATCACACAGAAACACTCCTAATCTCCCGCTTAGTGACTGCTAATGTTTTGCTTGCGACAAGCTCGTATGTTTCCCGTCGTTCATTGATAAGAATGAGATGAATCAAATATATACGCCGAATAAAACTTCGTCCACTGTGATTTCTGCTTCTCTTGTCTTAACCTGCGTTGTAAATATAATTCCTTGCTCCTGGCGATAGTGTTGCTGAATTTAACATTCCTTTCCTTCTACTATCTCTTCTCACAATTTCCATCCAGTCGCAGCCATGACTCAAATACGTTTACTTACGGCTAGAACTGGCAACCCGAACTCTTACGCTAGCTGAGTCTCGATTTTGTAATCGCTTTATATCTCGACATAGGAAGCATCGTAGAGCACCACGCGGATTGATACTTATATTGGCTTAGTCTATGATCTCCTGCATAATATTCCGTAAGAAGTATCAAAATAACGTAGGTAAACTTTATTAATTTTGCTGAAACGATACCATGGTTTTCCTATTTCAGCGTTGTACGCTCTGGGGTTAATGCTCTATTGATATAATATCTAGTGAGATTAATATGTACCAAAATATGCACCAAAATTGTGTTATATTGATGTTTCGTTCGTGTATAATTGCGCACAATGTTGACGACAATGGCTCGAGGGTTTCCCAATTTGTGATTGGCATTCTGGCCGAATGAATGAAACATTAATATGACACAAATTTTGGTGCATATTAATCACTGATATTATGCTACCAGATGAAATCGACGCAAATTTTACTCATCCCAAGGAATTATTCATATTTCGCCCAGAACTTTCTCCGAGTGGACAATTTCGATGTTTTGCCGCGGGAGTATGGAAAAGCGAGACGCAAGCTTATTGGACGGTCCGCCGTGGATTGGCACGAGGCGATTCTACACAGTGACCCAGTAGTAACATACATTTTTGTGGTTTTCTCGGGTTCAGTATTTTGCGTACAGCGAAAAACCCAACCATTGGTTAACATTAGAGAGCCAAATATCCAAATACATGCAATGGGCTGGGATTTTTTGTTAAACTTTATTGCACGTTCTAATATACTGTACTCTGCCTGGAAAACGGCTAATTTTGTAAATAGTAATTCTTACTTCAGTGATGAATAGGGGCTGTACACAACTAACGTACCACCTTAATTTGACATATAGATTTTGGTTGACATGTCACCAAAACTATGTCAAAATTAGGTGGTACGTCCGCTAGTGTAGTATGCAGTGTGTAAAATATTATGCAGTATATACTTAGTGTAGTATGCAGTGTTTTAAAATATTGAAATTAGTGATAGGAAGGATGGATTTTACCTGAATTAAGTATCTTTTGTTATAAATAAACTTTATCTGGTTGATATTCTGGTTTAACTGTTGTTTTCATCTAATTTTTCCCTGTGTACATATATGTGTATGGAGGATGTTCTTGGATATTGACCCCATCCAAAAATTCAAGAATTTGAAAACATCCATGATCATATAGGCCCTAGAGGGTGGACAATCAATACAGGACCACACCTACATCAAATAAGCATCATGCCCTAGATCAAGCCTGGTTCATGCCATGATGGCCTATATCATGCCAGGGTCATGCCATGATGGCCAAGATGGCCTAGATTGGGCCGTTGTCGAACCGTGGTGCAGTAAAATTGTCGGGGCCCGAAGAGGGTTGCCTAGATTGGCCCGGTATCTTGGCCGGGATGTGCCAACATCGGGCCAGCATCGGCCCGATGTCTCCTGGCCAGCTGGGGTTATAGGCGCCCGCCCGCCCCCCACCGAGTTAGAGTTAAGCTAGCTGCTCATAAATCAGTGGGACAGAGTTACTGTAAGGCTAGTATTGGCAGTATTGCTAGTACTAGTAGTACTTAGTATAGGTTAAGGTTAAGCCTACAGCCTAGATGGTTAGTTCAGGTCTGCCCTATTGTAAGTACCATAATCCGTCCAATGTAAGGTCTAGTGTACTACTACTATACTATAAGTAGTACTGTAGTAGTAGTACTATAGTACTACTAGTCTCTACTTACTACTATATAGTCCGATATTCCTCTGACCCAATGCCCACACCGGACGATTTTGGGTGGTTTTTGGTGGTGGGTTTACGGTCAAATGAATCTCGGACTACTACTACTGAGTACTACTACTTACTATAGTACACTACTTTGTAATACTCTAAGTACTAATAGCCACCGCGTACAGTTGCCGCAAGCTGTACGTGGGCTATTAGTACTAGAGCTACACTAGTATGTGCTGCGAAGGGTCTTGTCCCCGGGGTACTGCCGGGAGCGTATACCCTGGTACTATCTAATATGCCGGACCGTACCCTCGCTACTCCACTAACGAGTCTAGGGAGTCGCCTACACCTACTCCCTAAAACCCTAACCCAAATTCTAACCATAATCAAATAGTGACCAGGTACGTACGTTTCCGGTAATACCGCACCGTATCCCAGGGTACGTTCCGGCAGGGCAACTAGTGGTTCAAGGATATGAGAACATGGGTCCCAATAAAACCAATGTCCATTTAACATCAATATAAATTGATCATATTATATCAATAATAGATAGGTTAGGGTTATGGGTTAGGATTAGGGTTTACGGGTTTAGGGTTAGAATTAGGGCTTAGGGTTAGGGTTAGCACATTGTTTTATTGGACCTCATTGTCTCTATCCTTGGGCCCCCTGGGGGACATAAGACCATAACTGAGCAACTAGTAGTAACTAGTAGTACCAGTAAGTGCGAGGGTCTATGTCCCACCGGGGTACTGCGGAACAGTACCCTGGTACGGTCCGGTATACCGGTAACGTACCCTGGTTACTATCTAATATGCCGAATCCGGTACCGTCGCCTATCTCCACTAACGCTGAGTCTAGGGAGTCGCCTACCCCTACTCCCTAAACCCGAAAACGCCATAATCCTAACCCTAACCCTAATAACCATCATCAAATAGTGAACCAGGTACGTTCCCGGTATACCAGACCGTACCCAGGGTACGTTTCCCGCAGTACCTGAGGAACATAGCCCCAATATGAGCACTAGTATAGTAGAAGTACTACTAGTGACTAGTATACTTATCCTACACTATATGTAATAATACCTATAGTAAATACTAATATAATAGTAAATACATATCACTATAGTCATACTTGACGGCTATGGCCTATGGGATTTACTCACCGTGTGGCTTTGAAAAG